GACACAGTCTACTTCTCCTGCTGGCTAGTACCTCGCTGCTTTGTAGGGACACCTAGTCATGCTCAACTCCCACTGCTCCCAGGCAGATCAGTCAAAATTGTTAGTTCCTATATTACTCCTTCCCAGTGCAAGGCAGAACTTTGTTCTCCTTGGCATTCAGAGATGGAGGTTTTTTTAGTTTAACATTACAGGAAATAAAATACAAAAAGCTACTTTAGTCAATTCATAGTTTCCAAAATTATAGTATGAACAAGGTCAGATCCAGGATCATGGCAAGAGGGATGCAGTCACACCCCTTCAGCTGTACGGCACTTGCACAGGTTCTCTGAGCTCACTGCCACATGAGCACAGCTCCTGCTGGAGCTCTGCATGTGCTGTGAGCTCTGAGCTTACCAGATAATTGGTGCAGGCTCTTCCTATAGCCCTGCTTTCACATAGCTCTGGAGCCCAGGGGTGAGCACTATCACCATTTGCCCTTCCACCCTCCCACCCCCAGCTGAATTCAGCATCAGGAAAGAGAGGGTGTTGTGTGTTGTGTTATTTGCTTATTTGATAATGAACAGATTTTTTAATAAATGAGTTAAAAAAACATGACACTATACAGTTGATACCCAGCATAACAATAGTAAATAGACTTAATTTAGAGAAGAACAATAGCCCACTTAAGCTATGAAGAGTAAAGCTAATAAAGAAATAAAATTGCAAGTGTTCAAAGTTACATGGTTCAAAAGATTCAAGTCCCTAAGTTTAAGTTTTCTATTTTATTAATACCACACTAATATGCAGAAGAACCTTGCTGGAGAACAAATCTGTAACCACACCACATGTAGAAGTTTACCTGAAAAAATACCAGGGTTCTAAGTCACATCCATAAAAAGAAAGACATTCCCATGTAAAAGCTGAAGCTGTAGTATAACCTGCTGTACCAACTAACTCCCCTCCAAAAGTCCTTTTACATCTTTCCAAGGTACTGCAGCATCTACAATGCTGCATGTAATATTGTCTTGGAGGCCCCTGCTGTACCTGGGGTTGCTACACCTTCTGAAACCCTAGGACAGTCTTGATCTTTACAGGTCTAACACAGCTGCTGACTCCATAACTGATTCAAGTGACTCTTAAATCAGAACCATAAGTCCATCCCCATGACTTCCTGAGGCAGACAATATTTCAAGATGCCATTGCTAAGCTGTGTAATCCTTTTGATGAAAGATCTAATATAAGGTATCTCTGCTGATATGACTGCCTACCACTGCTGTTTCCTGATGGATGACACTCTGAATAGCCAAAGACAATCAAATATATTTGCTGTAACATTTTTTTTAATTTGCCTGGGAAGCTAGTATGAACTAAAACTTACTGTTTAAATTACAATGTTTAATTTGGCATAATAAATATTTAATTCGTGAATATATTTAAATTTTATTCCTTTATCCACCCTTCATTGTTATCTCCTGAAATTTCCCATCAGTTCTGTTGAATACATTATTCATTTTTATTTATTCTCTTAGACCATTTCATTATCTTGCTACCCCCCTTAACTCTTGCTATATTTCATCCCATTGCTGGCTGCATTTCAGTAGTCAATAAAACAAATGGGGGGGTGTGTGTGTGCACGCGCGCCCCTATATATATATAAGAGGGGTAGCTAGCTGTGTTAATCTGAAGTCAGGCAGAGGACAGGACAGAGTGGCACTTCACAGACTAATGCAAAGGCATAACCCGATAGTATATGGCAATGTAAGCTGTTGCCTACAAAAGCTTAAGCCTGTGAATTAGTATATAAGGTGCTACTCTACTATGCCTACTGTATGGCTAGGGATCAACTTTCAAAAAGCCTGAGCTTGAACTGATCCAACCTTTGCAGGTTTCTCTAACCTGGCTAAGCTGAACTGGTTTCCAACCATACAGACAATCTCTCTGGCCTGAGGAAACTCAGGCACATGCCTGCAGTGGCTTAGGATGGAAGCCAGGGGGCACTACAGCAGCCCTCCTTGCCCTTCCACAGAGATAAACTAGGGAGGGCTGGCCATTCCCCAGCAGGGCTCTGATTAGGGAAGGGTGTGAATCCCCACCCTGCCTGCAGTCCCATGCTTTTCCCCGCTCACTGCTCAAGAGGCAGAGGTGTTGCCAGCCTGCAGCCCCAGGCTAGCACTTTGAGGCAAACCAGGGGGAAGTGCAGTGCATGCATCTGTTGATGATATGGAGCTTTTCACTCTCCCTCCCTGCTTCTGTATACTGTCTGCAGCAAACTGACAGGCATGCAAGCCAGGGGATCTGATAAGAGTGATAAACACTGTTATCTCAGTGTTTATTGCCCCATTAAGAAAACAGAGAGACGTTACCAGCTATCTGTTGATTCAGCACAGACCTAGCATGTAGTCTGCTGGCTAATATACAGACACTTCTCAACATGGCAGAGGGGAGAGCGGAATTTGTGCTTAACAGAGAGTGGTGAGGGAGAGGGAGGGGAGCAAACAGCTCTTCTCAAACAGCATTTCCAAGGAAGGACATTAAACCACCTGTTGATTAGCTCCAAAAAGCCTGTCTACCTTTGTCTCTCCCACAGCACGGACTGTAGCCAGCATGTGGTCTGCTAGCTAAGGCCAAGGTGTCTTTGTAAAGCAAAGGAGGGGGATCCCTGCTTAGCACGGAGTAGCCAGGAAGATGCAGAGGGGAGGGGCCAGCCCTGCTGTGGACCAGAAAGCCCTGCCCAGCCCAAGAGCATGCTGGGATGCTGTGGAACTCTGGTTTATCTTAAACCAGCAAGGAGTCTGGGACAGATGTTGAATAAACCAGTTTGAGCCAAATCAGTTAACTCTGATACTACATTCAACCAGGTTTATCTCAAACCGGTTTCAGCCATTTTCAAGCTGATTTATGTGCACTGAACATCTGTTGTGTTACAGGTTTAACATCTGTTTTGTTACAGTTTCTGATCACTTAAACCGGTTTACGTGTAATGTCTGTCCCTAGCCTATATGTACAAGTAGTTTGTGTATCAATGAACAAAGACTTTAATGATATCTCATAGTTTTAAACTAAAGATTTGGCCTAAAACGTGCAGTCTAACATATCCTTTTGGAGAAGGGGATAGCTATGAAAAACACTTCCAGAAACAGAAGTCATTAAGCCGGCATAAAATCATAAGAAAACAGGGCTTGACGGCACCTCATGCAGTCATCTAGTCATGCCCCCTCATTATGGGAGGATTATCCCTGACTAAACCATCCCAGCCAAGTGCCTATCTAATCTGCTCTTGAAAATTTCCAGGAAATTTCCCATCCCCTGTGACCACAGAAAAAAGGCTAACTCCATCTTTTTTATAATCAGTCTTTAGGTACTGGAAAACTATTATCAAATCCTTGCTTCAATCTTCTCTTCTCCAGATGAAACAAAGCACTAGCTCTTTCAACCTTTCCTTGGAAGTCATGCTTCCCAGGACTTTACAAAGACACCTCTATTAATTTGCATTGCTCTCTGCTGTACTCTCCCCTATCTGTCCACATCTTTCCTGAAGTCTAGGGCCCAAAACTGGGGACAGTACTCCATGTGAAGACTCCCCAGTGCTGAATAGAAATAATGACTTCCCTTGATTTGCAAGAGATACTCCTGTTAATACAGCCTGGTATTGCATTGGCTTTTTTGCAACAACACTGTTGGCTCATATTCAGCTTACTGTGTACCCTCTAGATCCTTCTCTGCAGTACTGCAGTAATGCAATTATTCTGTCCTAAGTGCAGTGTGTTTCTCCACCTTTTCAGACTCAAAGCACCCCTTGTTCAACTCAAGGCACTCCTCAGAAAATGCCAGCTCTTACATTTCACTCACTTTGTGACTATGGAAAATTAATAGAGCAATTTTTCTGTTGTAAGTAACTCAAAAAAACCACAAAAGGACAGGGTGCTTTTAACACCATGGGTTCCTATTTGAAATCCCCGGGTTTATCTCATGAATCATTTTTGTATAAATGAACACCCAACAGTGTTAACATTGTGTGGCACCTTGCAGTACCCTTGGCAGGATCTTACAGCAGCCTGTTTGGGAATCATTGCATTAATCTGCCATGCAGTACTCTTACTTTAGAAGCAGGTGTGTGACCCCCTAGGTTCCATTACATGCAGTGGAACCTGCCCATACAGTAGTATAACTAAGGTGAGGGAAGGGGGAGACCCACCTCAGGTGCCAACTATGAGGGGGTGCCAGGATCCGACAGGATCCAGGAGTCTGTCACAGCAGGGGAGTCTTTGCAGTGGTGGGACAAACCCTACGCTGCCTCTACCTGGCCAGAGGAGCTGGGCAATGCAGCACTGCACCAAACAGTGTATCTGGAAGGTGGGAAATGAGTGGGTTGAACAGAATGAGTACCCTACGCCACCGTCTCCATATTACAATTTGCAGGAAACATGGTTGCCAGAAATGTTAAGGAAATTTTATTTAAAGAAATATCTTTGGATAGGGAAAGCAAGTGCCACACAATGCATTCAAAATAGACTTTAAATCTCCTCAGAACAAAAAGCATCTATTTTCATGACTTCTGATCATTTGTTCTGCCAGTCATCATCCTCTGAGCCCTGTTAAACCTGTTCCATGAGATTTTGAAGGCCTTGAGTAACTGAAAATCCTGCACTCAGCCCTGCACATGTATGTAACTCATGTTTGAAATGAGCACGGAGTAAATGCATATATGGCAAATAAATATACTGGACCTCAGTTTTACCCTGGGGTAAAAATAATGGCATATCACAATAATTATTTCCTTGATATATCTGTCCTTTAATACCAATCAATATTTAACAGCTGTCACAATGTTTTCAAACTAATCAAACAAAATGTTACCATCCTGCACACAATAATAAACATTTTTTTTAAAATAACCTGTTATTTTGACTGTTACCCAGATGAGCTTTATTAATCAGCAGGGATCCTGATTTTCTCTGATAAAAAAAAAAAAACTCTCACTTCACCCCCCAATGACCCCCCAGCCCCCCACTCATCCCCAATGCCTCCCACAGCCCTTCTGGTGCCCTTCACTTACCACCAAAGCCATCCCAACCCTGTTGGTGCTCCTCATTGCCCCCACAACAGCCTCCCACCCTACTCATGCCTCTTGCCCCCACCCACAGCCCCGCATCCTGGCCCTGTTGGAGGGGGCCTGCAGCTGCCAGGGCTATGGGGCCAGGGACCCAAGTCTGCAGCTCCCTGTCCCCAACAGCAAGCAGCTACAGCAGAAGCAGCATGGAGCCGGCTCCCCCACTCCTCTGCCTGCTTGGGTGGAGGTGGGGTGGGCTCCTGGCCCCCCACTACCCTGCCAGTGCCCCTCAGCCATGACCCACAACCCCACCAGCCCTGCCAGAGGAGCCCCAAGCCCCCTGCAAGTCCAATTTACCTCAGGAGCAAAGAGTGAAGCTGAGCTAAGCCGAGCCATAGCTGACTGAGCGCCTCAGGCCTTGCCTTCCCCCCTCCCCCTTCCCCTCTGGCCAGGGCTGGGGGTTTCCCACTCTGTCTGCAAACAGCTCTTGCAGGCTGGAGCTCAACCAGCCTGTAGAGCTCTTTGCAAAAGCTGGGAATCTGTGGGTTTCTCTGCTAAAAGGAGAAATCCATGTTTTCTCTGATAAAAAGGGGAAACCCATGGCTTTCTGTTTTCTAAGATCCCTGTTAATCAGTAAGTAAAAGAATGAAAAACAACACAATAAATATTGAGTTATTCAAGAACACGAGAAAATATGAAATAAGAAATTTTCATTATCTTTTTATTTTCCCCAGTGAAGTGCTTATGAAAGGTTATAGACTGAATGCCCTTGAAAGCTCAGTCCTATTTATCTTTAGAACAGCTCCAATATAATACACACCCATTATGATCTAAATCACACCTGCCAATTTCAGACTTTCACTCCATGATGTAAATATCAAAATTAGAAATAAATTACCATATTTACTCAAATCTAAAACAAGATACCCCAACATGGGTGGGGCCCCCCATCTTAGATTCATGTACAAAGGAGGAGGGTAAGAGGGGGGAGGGTGACTGCTGTGGTTCTGACTCTGGCCCTGAGCCCATAGTAATCTTATGCCCACCCCCGCACTTACCCTCTGCAGCTTCTGTCCTGCCCACCCAACGCCCCACCCCTTCCCCACCCATTACTGTCAGGCACAGCTCAGCTCTGTCTTGGGTTAGGTTCCCTCCTGAGCACACTCTGTCCCCTGCCCAGTCAATCAGCAGTTCTGACAACTGAATGGCCCCTGCCTGGACAATCAGCACTGCTAGATTGCTGCATGGACAGCAGGGACTACACTCCCATGTGCTGTGCTCAGGGAGGGAACAAGCAGCATGGGACAGAAGGAGATGGGGAGGGCAAGGGGCAGAGATTATGGGGGTGCTGGGTGCCAGTGGTGGGGATAGTAGGAATGCTGCAAGGGGAAGAAGTGAGGGGGACAGAGGGCAAGGGGCTGACACCCCCAGCCACTGCTTTCCTTGCTGTACAAGTGGTGAAGGGAATAATTTAAGACAACCCTCTGATAATTAGATTCTATACTTAGAAAATTATAACCTTTTATATCAATTTTTCATATATAGAATCTAATTATTGGGGGATTGTCTTAAACTCAGGGTCAACTTAGATTTGAGTAAATACAGTATGTATTTGTTAAATTTCTAATGGGTTCCAGATATAGAATTTGTAAAAAAATATGGTTCTCCAAACCTATAACTTATAAGAATTGGCAACATGATCGGTTCTCTTGATTTTATTTCGAGTTACAGACATGATTGGGCACAAATGATTAAGTGAGAACCTCAGGAGTTATAAATAACACAGATTTCTAGCCCCCGTGGTTATGTAATCCTAATATATCCTAAAGTCTTGATATTAGGAAGACAAATAAAAATAAACTCTTGGTTCTTTTTCAATTGCATGATTTTTGAGCATTTGAGATAAGCAATATCAAATTTTTGGATTTCTCCCTTTTCCCAACAAAGGGATATCCATAGGTCCAAAGTAAATAGTTCAGTCTTGGTTTTACAGACCTTGGTTGCAAACAATCCTATTCACTACTACTGACTTCAGTTGGAACTATTCAGAGTGTTAAGAGGTTCACAAATTGAGCTCCACAACTGATGACTGTTGCAGATATTGTAAAATAATAATAATCATCATCATCATAATAATCATACTAATAATAATAAAGTGAATGACACACTTGTTTCCTGATCCAAGTTGCACATAAAATTACACATACTTGAAGAGACTCAGATAACTAATTCATTAATATCACAGTTTCACACATACCACATGTCCCCAAGTAAAAAAAACACCTTACTTTTGGGAAGACAAAATAAAGACAAAATAGATTCCCCACCAGCCCGAGTTAAGGCTGCAAAGAGAAAAAAAAAACCTAATCTTCAGCTCAATCACCTTCCCTCTCCTGTTTAATCTTTTTTCTGAAACTCCATCTGCTGCTGAAGACTGCTCTCCATGGGTGGATGGTCTCCATTGGTGGATGTACTATTTTGAAAAAGAATATAGTCCTGGAGAGAGACCAGGAGTAGCTAGCAAACAGAAAAGTTGCCAGAAGAAAGGTTATCTTGATCAGTGGAACATCAAGACCATCAAAATGCGGGATGATCATTAACACCTGTGAAATGAAAAAAACCAATGAGCCATTACAGCAAATAACCCCTTCAGCTGCCCAAACAGAAATGCTACTGCTGCTGCCGCCAGCCAGTTGGTTGTGGAGTAGGAACCAAATAGAGGTGTTTCTATTCCAAGCAGAAGATCACCTTTCCTACTTAAGATGTGACTTAATTTGGGGTGGGGGGGAAGGTAAGGGGAGGAATGGTGTGTATGGTATGTGAGAAAATATAGTAATTTCTACTGGCATATACTTTCACTAAGTAAGATATAATGCATATATAGAGATTGTTTCCCCCCTGCATCATCTTTATATTACTAAGCCCATTCTTTGGGGATTTAATTTGATTACACTAGGGAGGGCCTCACCCTCTTGCAATGGTTTCCTGCTTCTCTTTAAACAATAAGAGGGAGTTAGCTCCTTGTCCATCCCTTCATTAATTTACATTTTTGCCCAGATCTTTTGTAGCCTCTTGCCTCCTGTACCATTCAGGACAGGAAACTGGTGCTTGCTTGGCTGGGGGCAATTCAAAGTACACATTAGAACGAACAGGCATAATTTTTTCTTATGGAACCATTTACCTCCAAGATATTACAAAATAGACCAGATTGTATAAGGGGCCTTGACACTGGGAAATCCTCAATCTTTCCTACAGTCCCCCCACCCCACCTTGACTACAGGAAACACCATTTTTCTATAAGAAGGGCCTTTTTTAGTTAACAGGACTGACAAATCAGACTCAGCATTTGTACACTGCAAGGCACCTACTTGATTGGATAGTTTGATGCAAAGATGAAGAAGACATTGCCCTCCTTAGGTCTTCTTCATATAATAAAATATGGTAAGACTATTTTCCATTACATACACGCCTCCAAATAAAACATGCACCTCATTTCCGTGACATAGAATTAGTCCTCCTGGAAACACACAGTGTCCAGTAAGTGTGTCACCAGGAAGTTGCTGATGCCAGCTGCCTCATCCAGACTACCTCCTGGGATGTCACACTTCCTGGACACTGTATTCCCAGGAAGACTTACTTTGTCACACAAGGTTAGTTCCCAGACCCTTTCAAGGGCAGTACCAAGACTTAGCTCTTTGCTGTAGGCAGTTCTTTATATAAGTACTCATAGAGAAACTGTTGTACCACATCACGAGCTTCATCAAGACACTACCAGGAGATGACTTGCTACTTCAGGTACAAGCTACATTGCTCAGTCAATAGTTTTGGCTTTGAGAGGGTTATCCCAGGACTGCACCATTTTGGCAGCTACATAGCAGGCACCTCTACATCACTACAGCACCATAATGTTGGGAAGTGCTAACTGTGACACCGTTACCAGGGTGGATTGATTTAAATCAATGAGATTTAAATAATTGATTTAAATCACCAAGCAAAAACCCTGATCAACGATTTAAATCAAGTTTTCCACTGATACTTCTTCACATATTTCTTAAACAATGGCACAAATCTGATCACTAAAACATGTTAATTTACAACTCAATACAGCATTTTACAACATCTGTCCTTAAACTTTTTAAAATTTTCAAATGTTATTAACTCTAACAGACAAGTCATCACAACACTAATCATACGTGTCCTTAAAACTTCTACAACTAGATCTCATCTTCCCCACTCCCACTGTCATTTTTATTCATAGACTGAAACAGAAATATGAGTCTTCCTGCTTTTTCAACATTCAGTCAATTTCTTAGCTTTCAGCGAATAATACCAAATGATGAAAATATTCTCTCTGTGCCTGAAGAGGAAGCTACTGCTGTGAAAAGTTGGCTTAGTAACTGAAGGAACTCTTGTTTCAAGGTGCCTGGCTAATGATTTCCACCAATTCAGGGGAGTGACTGTGTTCAAAACTTCATCAGTAAACATGTACTGCTTAAATGGCTCCTCTCCAGCCCTGAAATTTATTACGACTGGCATAACTAAGGAGTGATTTTGAGATGCCCATGCCATGGCAGCATCATCTTCTTCAGAAGTTAGGCATTTACCCTTATATCTGGGGTTGAAAAGTTCGCAAGAAAATGGAGGTGGAGTTAGTGCTTGATCCATTTGCTTCTTTATTGCCTGCAGTTTAAATTTGTGGTTAGGTATTTCTTTCTTCAATGTCTCTTGAAGTGCCTTCCAAATTTCGACAGCATCACCAATGCAGCCACAATTTCTCTGAAGTTTGTTTAAGGCTATGGATATAGACTTCAGTATACTGAGTATACCCTCTACATTCCTCTTTAATCCAATGTTAAATGCTTTGGATAAGATACTTCCATTTGTTTTATCGTGGTTTTCTTCACAAATTTTTACGAGTATAGGCCAGTTGTTAATAAATTGTTCAAAACAATCAACCACAGAATTCCATCGAACATCTTGAGGGAGAATTAGTTTAGATCCTCCTGCTCTCTTCAGTGAAGCCAAAGCAAAATTGTTGTTATGGAAATATTTTGCAGCTTCAACAACATTTTCTTTTATTCTTGGTGAAGTACTTAAGTCTTTGGCTAAAAGATGCATTAAATGGGCACTGCAACCATATGTTATTAAGAAGCATCCTTCCGTTTCTTCTTCTAAGTATCTTCTCATCTTTGCCACATTTGCAGCATTGTCTGTGACAAAACTGCGCGTGTGACAGTTTAATTATTGTTCACAGTTTATTACAGCTTTCACTGCCACTTCTTTTAAACATTCTGCTGTGTGGGCATTTCCCAATGTATCTATTGTTTCTGAAAGAAATTCATCCCCATCTTCTGTTGTCACACAGGCACATATTATGGATCATTGTGTACGTTGCTCCACCCATCAAGGCTTAAACTGGCAAATTTCCCCTCAGTATTTCTTGCACACTGTTCAAGTTCCTTCTCATACACTGTATCTAGCAACCTTCCACCAATGTCTGCTCTACCAGGTGTAGTGTAGCCTGGTTGTAAGGACCCAACCATGCCAATGAAGTGTTTGTTAACAATGCAAAAAGGAGAATTTGCGGCATAAATGAACCGAGCAATCTTTTCATCTATGGTGTCTTGCTGGTAGTTGCTGGTCCTTACTACAAACCCATCCATGGTGGTGGTTTTACTGGATGGTTGAAATCTTTTGCTTGCTACTGATACTTTGTTGTCTGAAATATGTTTAGTTGCAGCACTAGTGCTAAAAGTACCAATGGATGACTCTGAAGTTTTTGCAGATAGAGAGTCAAAGTCTCTTATGCTTAAATGGGATCCTGAAACAAAAATGATTTTTGAATAGTCATTCTTCACAGTTCTTCTCACTCTATTATTCAGTTAATCATTTACATTTTTTTCAGCAAGGATGCAGATCCAATTCCAAATGACCAAAAAAGCTAAGATTGACTGTACTTAGAGTGCACCTAATTTTGGAGTAAGCCCCACTGAACTCACTGGCACTTCTGTTTTTTGAGAAAACAAGTATAAGAAGGGGGTTCCCTTGGGAAAGCTGAGTTATGTTGAAGTAAAATAGGGAATAGACTTATGGCATCACCATTATGGTCTGGGGCCAGGATGTTTCAAAATAAGGGGAATGTATTATGTAATATAAAATAAGAAAATGACACCCAGTGGCAACTGGCAACTCTAGATTTTTCTTACTGCAGCTTTCTGTACCGAAAACTTGGGTGATAGATTCTAAACCTAATTAAAAAGCTAAACTTTTTTTCTAGCAACATCCAACACAGCTTGGGAATTTACTTGTTAAATCAGACTTATACTAAAAGGCATAGAGAGAATCTTGAAGAATGATGCATTGCAAAATGAATTATTTAATTTAATTTACTAACCAATCGATCCACATTGTTCTTCAGACATATCCACATCTTAATCCACATCATTTTCTCCCAATAAGCAGTTTTCATTGTGTGTTTCATTCTTGCAACTAGGCCCTGCATCTCCTTCTTGCACTGCACTGGACACATTTTCCTTTTTTACCCAGGGAAGGAATTTCTTCAAAATATTCCCAGATACAGTCTCTCTTATGCCCAGAAGCCATGACAGTTTTTCTGTGGCAAAAAAGTGTGGGGGAATACAGGAAGCTGTGTGTGTACTACTGAATAATGTCTTCTCTTTTTCTTTCCAGTCCACTCCACTGTTCCTTTTACTATGCCTCTTTAAGACAGTGTCTTAACTAGCTCCTCTGCCTTGCTTGGCCCAGCTCCACCACCACATAAGCACAGAACAACAACAGTCCTATCCAGCCTGTGTCTTTGCATGTGTCACTTTAGACTGCTGAGGAACAGAAATTGAAAGCCCAGAACTTTCAAGAAGCAAGAGCTGGTAGTTAGGCTGGACAGAGACTAGAGCTATTTTCATGAGATGAAAAACTGAAATGAATGCCCATGTTTGATTGGTAGGTAACACAATGTGTGCGAGTGTGACAGCCATTGATTCATTTTTATGAGACTATAAGTGTAGGTTTAGCATGTTTGTGATGAGATTTAATCGTAATGGTTATTTTTTAAATGAGAGAAATTTAGTATTTTACTGATGATTAAAAAAAAAAAATCAAAAAATCCAATTTGAAAAAAAAATATCCAATTTTTTTTCTGTTTTAAAAAAAATCATGATTTTTATCCACCCTGACTGCTACTGCTCAGCAGCAACAAGCTACTACACAGTAGCTCATTGCTACTGCTCAGTAGGGTCAAAAACTATCTGTGCACCACCAGGACTGCCCAGTACCAACTATGCACTCAGGGTGAGGTGTGGATATGCCCACCAAGCACATTAATCTCCAAGTTGCTTCTTTTCCAGCAAGAAAAACTGCTTCCCACTTAAGACATGCACCCAACTTTTGGGAGACTGATTTTTTGGGGGAAAATGTATATGTTGCATGTGAGAAAATATAGTATATTCTCCATATCTTTACAAGTAAGAAATTAAACTAAACACAGTACCTGTTAAGTAAGATGGATGTCATTATACAATTTTTACAGTAAAAAGAAAACCTAAATCCAAGATGATGTGCCAAGCACAGTTGCTATGTTTGGTAA